TATTTTTATGTTTATCCTCTCCCTCGAACTAATGAAATGAACACATTTATTGATTTTGGCATGACTTTTATTAATGTTAATATGACTTACTAATGTTATTCCGTGCATTTGGATTAGTAGCATTATTGTTTATAAACCAACATTTTTCTTTCAGTTCAAAAGAAGGCAGAAGGTTCAGAAGAAAAGAAGACCCTGCCTACAAAGAAGAGAGTGAAAGAGTTGAGAGTTTTAGATCCTAAAACAGCCCAGAATCTGTGTATGTGATAATTCTTGCCTAGGGAGTGGTGGTGATGGTGATGGTGAGAGTGGGTTGTTGAATGTATTTAAACAAAGTTGTAACTTCTTTGAACAGGGATATTTAACATCTGCTAGAAACAAAATTCTATGTATATATGATTTGAATCATGATTTGCCTTTTTGTCATTCATCCGGAGTGGAGATCATCATAATTTAGCCTTGGTTAGGCCAGATGAAATTTATGAATAATAAAGCTTTGAAAAGTATTGATAATTAGGCATTGTTAGAGGACACAGACAGAGTTGAAAAGAGTGTTTTTCTTCCCGCCCAGGCATGGGAGTGATAGTTTTAGAACATTCACTAGTCATATTGGGCAAATCCTTTTACCACTATTCCTTTGTATTTGAAGTAATTGTGTTGTGAGCTAGTTAAATTGTTAACCACTGAACTTTAAAACTGGTTACTGAACCTTAAAACTTTTAACAAACCAGTCAGCCATTAAATATGCTTTTGTTAAAGCAGCTTGGACAGTTAAACCCATCTTTGTTTAAGTAGGCCTTAAGTTTTACTTTGATAGATTCTCCCCTCTGTATTGAATTCAGCATTTTTTGTCTCCACAGTAGACTATTTTTGTATTCTGAGGATACTGAAACACTATGCATGAGAAATTTCACTACATCAAGCATTTCTTGTTACGCAAAGAGATACCATAAGAGTTTATTTTGTTAAAGACTATGCTGTGGGGAATCAGATTGAAATAACTCATCATTCTCTTGTCAGTAGACTGTCAGAAAAGCAGTCTCTTAATAGCTATTGTGAATGTGTATATTGCTTACATGACCCTACATTTTCTTTATAAAGTGGATGTTCAGTATCTTTTTAAAAAACACAGTATGCTCTTAATTGCTGGTTGATATCTGTCAACATTATTTATTTCAATTATAGAGATCTCATTTGGTGTTTCTGTCTAGGTAATCATTTGCCTAGACAGTAAGAATGTTTTTTCTTTAGGTGCCAGTGAAGTCATATAAATCTTTTCATGAAAAATTTCTTAGGAATATATTCATGTTCTGGTAGTAAGAACACACAAACATTCTTTAAAAAGTATGTTTAGTGGAGATTAAAGTAGAATGTATTGTTGAATACTTTCTGAGTAAGTGTAAGCTTTTCTAGGTATAATTTGTTAAATTATTCCAATATGACGTAGTATATATTTAATTAAGAAAAAGTTGTGGACAGAAATCGTGATTCAACATATAAAGCAACTGATAGTACACCATGTGAATGTCAGCAGAAATGATTCAGATATTGATGATTCAGACACTAATTCTTTCTTATATGGGAAAACTGCAAAGTGGATTGATATGCTTTTTTCATTTTCGGTTACTTTATTGTCATTCCTGAGTAGTACTATGTTAGATGCATCTGACAATCTCCACACTAAATTTTACATTGAATTAAAATGCCAACTTGGAATCAAATCTTTAACTTTTCATGGGTTGTTTTGTATCAGCTCAATGTAAAATGCATAAACACGTAATCATCAGTGCTATTAGTAGGAGTTTTATTTGGTATATAAATATGCATGAGCTGTAAACATTTGAGCCTGTGATAGCAGGCCATTTCACCTACCTGAGTAGTGTAGTCCATCAAATGAGAAATATTTTTGTTTATAACTCCATAACTTAGTGACAGAGGTTTCATGTTTTAAGTATGTGAAATGGGAATCAGGTATTACTTAAGTCTTTAAAATTTTGATGCTGTTCTATTTGTAACAAACTCAATTTTTATTTTAGCCATCTTCCTAGGATCATACCGTATGCCATATGAAGATATAAAAAACGCTATTCTGGAGGTCAATGAAGACATGTTGAGTGAGGCCTTAATTCAGGTAACTTTCATGTTTTCCTTTTAAAATTCATTTTGACAGGTATTTCTAGATTGCTATCTTGCGAATGGAGTTATAAAAAATGTTCTATATTTAGATAATAGAATCAGGAGAATCTAGCTGTGTTGATAGTCAGAGGACTCAACATACAAGATCCAGGTTCTAGCTCTATTTATTAGAAATATGTTCTTTTTGTAAGTTTATGCATATGTAGACATATCATTTCCTGTCATTCACTGTACAGAAAATTGCATGTATTTCATCATAACAATGACTCTAAAGTAGATATTATTATTACCATTTTATGTATATAGAAGTGGAGAGTCCAACAGGGTAAAAAGCTTGCTCAATATCAAGAGATAAATGACAAAGTTACCCTTTGTTAGGTACTTAACATATGCTGGTGATTGGGCTAAGCACTTTTTATATTTTATTTCATTAAATCCTACAACAATCCTATGAGATAAGAACTAATATCTTCATTTTACAAATAAGGAAACAGGCTTCGCGAGATTGTTCAATGTCACATAGCTGGTAAGTGACAGTGTAACAGCTGGGATACAGAACAAGGTCTATCATGACTCTAAAGCCATTGCTCTCTCTCTTCTATTATTCTGCTTCCTGTGGGCAAACTATTTCAGCTTACTACACCTCCGAGTCCTCATCTGAGATCACAGGGTCACTGTGATGATTAAACCAAATAAAGTGCTTTCTGGAATAAAGCACTATACAAGATATAGCATATTGTTAGAATTCTTGGTATGTCTTTTAATTTCTATAAAGAAACACCATAGAGATTTTTCATAGAAAGGCATGGTCAGTCATTGTAGTTTTTTGTTGCTGCTGTTTGTTTTTAGCCATGCGATTTGTTTTGATTTTTAAAAAGACTGAGTCATTTATGCTGTAATAATTTTGCCATATCTTCCTCGATCTCTAAATCTCAGAGAACCAGTGTTTGTCATTTGAGCAGGCTGTGTCTGGTTGGAAGTTCTGTTACCTAAAAATAAAAAAAAACAAAAGCCTTTCAAAGTGAGAGTCAACAAGTTTCTTTGAGATCTCTAAGAATAGCTATTAAGGAATCAATTCAAGCAGAAGCCCAAATCATGTTCCTATTAGGAGACAAAGGCAATGGATATTTATGAGAAAGAAATGAAACGATTACATTAGTAGAAGGAAGGCATTTCTATTGGTGCAGATAACAGCATTGTTAATTCCAAATAATCTTTTAAAATTTTTAGTCCAGTAATCATCAGTCCAATAGTCATAATAATTGCTTTCTCATTATCTTTGCAAACAGTTCTTTTGTGAGGCACAAGGTCGCTTAGGCCTAGTCTAAAGGTTATTTTGCCTTGTTTTAACATTTCGAATATTTGAAACATAGAATGTGTAAGGTGGTTCCTTTGGCATGGCAGCCCCGGCTCCGTTTTAAAGTGGCTCCGTTTATATTATTGTTTACAGTTCCTCCATTTTGTAGTGTAGGCTTGCATTACAGTTTACCTCATGTATATGTTTTAAATATAGACATATTTATTAAGACTATTAAGGTTTAATGAGTTTATATAGGCTCTTTATTATTTTAATAAACACCTATATTAATCTCAGTAAGAATTACGCTTTGATAAGAATTCCCCTGTGGTTGTTTTTTTTTTGTTGTTTGTTTGTTTTCAAGTTTTTCTCTGTGCAACTAGCAAGTCCATAGTTCTCTGAGTTGAAATGGAGAGCTGATCCCATTTGTCCTGCCCCTCGTAGTCCCAGGATTCTTTGTACAGTGGTCAGAATGAGCAAGGCATGAAGCTAAATGTGATTTAGTTTTCTCTTTTTTAAAATCGGATGGTTTAAATTTAACCTACAATAAGGCAAACAAATTTCTGAATCCCTACTCAATAATTGAAGCTTTCTAGTCTTTTCCGTATAATCAAATTATAGAAAATAGAACCATATTTTGAAGAATTAATAGATATAGCCATTTATTTTACCCTTTAAAACTGTAGTTTTTCTTTTGTGTGCCTTGGTAAATAAATAAGAATATAAATGTGCACGATGTTGCTGTGTTATTTATTTCTCAGTAACATTAAAAACTTATTTTTTTAAGTCACGTTTCCAACTCTTTAGGGAATGTAAAAAGAGAAAGATTCTCATTATGACTGTGCCTCTAATATGCAACAAGATTTTAAAATGTGTATAGAGAAACATATTACCTGGGATTCTTTTTAATGTTTCGCTTTATTTTGTAGCATAAACAATATGTATTTGTTTTTCTCTTTAAATTGGGTAATCTTGGTCCAGTTGGGTGGAATGAATTGCTTACAATTTAGAGATGGCAGTAAATTATGTCTAGATTCTTGAATTTGCTGGTTTAATCTTCTCCACTATTCAGACAAAACAACTGCTTGTGAAATCACATTATTATGCTAAGTTTTGGATTGTACTCTGGGAAGGTGAGTGAAGGAGAATCCCAAAGTAGGTCCTGCCAGGCTCCTTTTGTGCATGTTACACCCTTATGTTTCCCTGCATTTCCTCTTTGCTGTGTATGGGTTGACCTGGGTTTGTCTCATCTCTTCCTCTTTTCTAGACCTTTCTTCCCTTTTCTAAGCCTTTCTCTTTCTTTTTGTCACATATCTCTGTGTTTTACCCCTTGCCCCACCAACTTTGTTGCTGCTTTTTGTTGAAAGCATAGCACTGAGGCCTTTTTTTCCTTACATCAGCCTACTTTCCTTCTCAATATCTAAAATTTCCTCTCATTTCTTACTTACTCTTCTCAATCAGAACTCATTTTCTTAATTCTCCTTGTAGGAGAAAACAGCTTAACATGCAATTTAATAGCATGCATGATTAGAATTGTGCTGCTTGGGTACAAGGCACAACTGGCGAGTAACTCACCTGAGTTATTGAAGTTAATACTGCATTTATCCAGACAAATCAAAAGTCTGACTATCTTCTGGTAAGGAGAAAGGTCCTGGGTTGAAACAGTTATTTGATTTCCCAGCACCCAGAGGAGTACTTGTACCCTCAGGCAAGAGAAAACTGAAATTACCAGTGCCTCTTTCTTCTTCCCATCCCAGAAACGTTTGTTTTAGTGATGTAAAAGTAACATCGATTTGCCATTCATAGGAGCTATTTGTCATTTATGTTTAATTACCATGCAGCACATCAGTAATACATATCATTAAATATGCATCATCAGATTAACTTTGTTGTAAACTCTATTTGATTACAGTGCTGAACTCTATCCATCCATAAATATACTTCGTTGCTCATGCGGTACTGTTGTTGCCTCATGACAACAAAAACAAAAACAAACAAACAAAAAATTCATTAAGGACTCATTGCTTTTCAGAGACTTGAATTAACACCAGTATTATCTCTCCTAGTATGGGCCAACGGATGCTTCTCGACCAGACAACTAATAAGTTGTAGTTATTTGGCAGGATAAATGTCTTATTAAAAATAAATAAATAAATAATCAACCAAGATCAAGGCCAAATGTTAAGATTATTAATAAATAAAAATACTAATGTCTCCTTTATTTCACAATATCTATATTTAAGGTAGAAACTCAGTTTATTATGTGGAAGGAGTTGAAATGTCCTAAACTATTTACAGGAGCACATAGTAACATTTAAAAAGTACATCATATCTTGAGATTGTTGAGGAGCTTTTAATATATGCAGTTATGAGTTACTTCCAAATAATGAATACTAAATTTAGGTGATTCTTGGCATCATTTTTTCAGCTTTGAAAATCTGCTTCAGTGTAATTTCTTTCTATTGAGAGACAAATATAACACTGTTTAACTGTTTTTAGAGTATCAGTGGTAAAAATGAAATATTTGTAGATACAAATATAGAACATTGAAAAAAATGAAACTAACAATTTCAAAAAAGTGATTCAAGTCTTAAGGGAAAAATAAAAGTGTGTTCTAGTTTAGAACATGAGTGCATGCAAATGATTCTTAAATGCTGAGGAAATTCATATTGGTACGAAGTTTATGGTCATATTCACAAAGCATATGCAGAAAAAAGACGATTAATGTAGAAGGCAGTATGATATTACTGCGGAATAACTTACAAAGATATGTGTAAAACAAGGAGTGATAATTAGGGGTTCAAAGCCCCCCTTGGGGACCCATGGAGAAAATGTAGGGGCTTCTGAACTTAGATGTGAAAAATACTGCATCTTACCTTCTTTAACTTCTTACTAATATTTGGTATTTAATTTGATTAGCAATGTAGGCAGTAACCAAAGTAGTCTTAACAGCACCTCTAACTTTTTCACTAACAGAAATAATAAATATTTTCATATCGCATTAAATTTGCGGTAGCTATCTTGACATATTGTTTATAGTCATTACTATTTCAAAATTACACTAGTTATTAAAGCTGCTCCTAGATCTGATTTTTAAATGCTTTAATCAAGAATCATATCTATTACATCACAATTTATGTTTGTAAATATGTTGATAACTATTTCAATATAACTGGCTCCTTTTGTATTCTATGTATTTATTCTAAGACGGGATCCATACACTGGCATTAAAGGGTTCATGGCATAAACAAAAAGGCCAGAAACTAGTACAGAAAAGTTTCCCTATCAGGATGGTGGAAATAAGTCTTTGCAGCTTCAGTTCTCCCTCACAACTATCTATAGAAAGGGCATCATTGTGAAAATACCAGACCCAGGGTTGTTTCTCAAGCACCCTCCTAAACCACAGAGGCGAAGGACCACATTAGAAGGATAAGAGGAATAGCTTTGTTCTGACTATATTGCTCTTCCCCTTTCAGGCATAGCACATCATCGAGGGGGCCACCCTGGGACTATGGTTTCTTCATTGGGAAAAGAGAACCCTAGGTGGATATTCAGCTATACCAGTCTTGTGAGATGCTTCCTGTAAGGCACATCACCTCATGGAGATACCCTGTGAGAATCTGCGGGGCTTGAGCACTGGGGGTCAGATAGAGATGAAGAAAGGGGGCGGGGCTTACACTCAGATCTTGGCAGACCAC